GGGTATTTACCCCAAAGATACAGATGTAGTGAAAAGAAGGGCCATCTGTACCCCAATGTTTATAGCAGCAATGGCCACGGTCGCCTAACTGTGGAAAGAACCAAGATGCCCTTCAACAGACAAATGGATAAGGAAGATGTGGTCCATATACACTATGGAGTATTATGCCTCCATCAGAAAGGATGAATCCTAACTTTTGTAGCAACATGGACGGGACTGGAAGAGATTATGCTGAGTGAAATAAGTCAAGCAGAGAGAGTCAATTATCATATGGTTTCACTTATTTGTGGAGCATAACAAATAGCATGGAGGACATGGGGAGATGGAGAGGAGAAGGGAGTTGAGGGAAATTGGAAGGGGAGGTGAACAATGAGAGACTATGGACTCTGAAAAACAATCTGAGGGGTCTGAGGGGTGGGGGGTGGGAGGTTGGGGGAACCAGGTGGTGGGTGTTGGAGAGGGCACGGATTGCATGGAGCACAGGGTATGGTGCAAAAACAATGAATACTGTTACGCTGAAAATAAATTTAAAAAATAAAAAAAAATACCACCAAAAAAACCTCAACAACCAAAAACAACAACAAATAATACAATTGAAAAATGGATAGAATATATGAACATTTTTCCAAAGAAGATATCCAGATGGCCAACAGACATGAAAAAATGCTCAACATCACTCGGCATCAGGGAAATACAAATAAAAACTACAATGAGATACCACCTCACACCTGTCAGAATGGCTAACATCAACAACACAGGAAACAACAGATTTGGGTAAGGATGTGGAGAGAGGGGAACTCTCTTGCTACTATCGGTGGGAATGAAAACTAGTGCAGCCACTGTGGAAAACAGTATGGAGGTCTATAACCCACCAATTGCACTGGTAGGTATTTAACAAAAGAATACAAAAATAACTAATTCAAATGGATACATACACCCCTGTATTTATAACAGCATTATCTACAACAGTCAAATTATGGAAATAGCCCAAATGTCCATCAACAGATGAACTGATAAAGATAATGTGGCATAGATAATAGAGTGGAATAGTACTCAGTGATTAAAATAAAAAGGAATAAAATCTTGCCCTTTTGCAATGACATGGATAGAGCTAGAGAGTTTAATGATAAGGGAAATAAGTCAGTCAGAAAAAGACAAATACCATATTATTTCACTCATATGTGGTATTTAAGAAACAAAACAAACCAGCTAGTGAGAAAAAAAAGAGAAAAGGGGGTAAGCCAAGAGACAGACTCTTTTTTAAATTAATTAATTTATTTGAGAGTAGGGGAGAGCAGAGGGAGAAGCAGACTCTGCACTGAGCAAGGAGCCCAATATGGGGCTCAGTCCCAGGACCCTGAGATCATGACCTGAGCCAAAGGCAGATGCTTGACTGACTGAGCCACCCCACGCCCCCCTCCCACACTTTTAAAAAAGATTTTTTAAATTAATTAATTAATTAATTTATTTATTTATTTATTTGAGAGAGAGAGTTGAAAGGGGAGAAACAGACTCTTAACTCTAGAAAGCAAACTGATGGTTACCAGAAAGGTGAGGAGTTGGGGATGAGTGAAATAGGTGATGGGAATTAAGGAGGGCATTTGTTGTGATAAGCATGGGGTGTGGTATATAGATATTGCATCATCATATTATACACCTGAAACTAATATTTCACTGTATTTCTATATTTCACTATATTTTACTGTCGGTTAACTAACTGGAATTCAAATACAAACTTTTAAAAAAAGAGAAGAGTTGGGACACCAGGTGGCTCAGTCATTAAGCGTCTGCCTTGGGCTCAGAGCATGATCCCAGGGATCGAGCCCCACATTGGGCTCCCTGCTCTGTGGGAAGCCTGCTTCTCCCTCTCTCATTCCTCCTGCTTGTGTTCCCTCTCTTGCTGTGTGTAAATAAAATCATTAAAAAGAGAGAGAGAGAGAGAGAATTGTTATGTTGTTGTTTGTGTTTAACAGAAATTCAAACATTGTTATCGTGGTCTGAAAACTGATTTGCGAAAAGTGTAGACTGTGCCAATTGTTAAATTATTGTCTCAGCTCCAAACTCACACTCTACACTCCAACTTGTGATGCTGCAGCTGCCTTGTCATGAAGCTGTAATCAGATATGCCAATAGCGGCACTAGAAGAAGACTGTAAGCCACGAAGATAGAAGAAACTATCTTCTTCACCATTCCCTGTTTTTCCTATCACGATTATCCCAGCACTGTTTCTTCATCCTTCATTCTTCATCTTGGCAGTTGGTTCCAGTTTGCAAATTTTATTTTCACACACATAGAACCAGTCTCATCCTGCCCCTCAGAGGAACAATTAGTAGCTGAGACGCACCTATTCTTTGGCAGTCTGGAGACAGAGACTCCTGTGAGCCGGAGGACCAGAACTAACCTTATGTCACTCACTTGTCAGAAGCCTGGAATGCAGGCAAGCCGCTCCTTTTCCTTTGGACTCTGGAGGAAGGACCATTAAGTTTGCCAGGGAAGGCTTCTCTGATGTCTGAAGAGAAGCCCACAGGACTTCTTCTCAGGTAGGAATACCAGCTAGTGAATGACCACTCCTCGGATGTTTGGGCTCCAAGTCTCCAAGTTTTAAAACCCTAAACTTTCCTTTTAGAGTCCCAGGACTAGCAATTATTTAGATTTTTTTCCCCTCAGTAATCCTTAGTGATCTTTTTTTTACCATTTCAGTTCTCAAATATCTGGTTAACAACTTTTTATATTACATTTTATTTTTTTTTATTTTTTTAATTTTTTTTATTTTTATTGTGTTATGTTAGTTGCTATACAATACATCATTAGTTTTTGATGTAGGGTTCCAAGATATGTTGTTTACATATAATACCCAGTGCTCCATGCAATACGTGCCCTCCGTAATACCCACCACCAGGCTCAACAATCCCCCCACTCCCCTCTCCTCTAAAACCCTCAGTTTGTTTTTCGGAGTCCACACTCTCTCATGGTTCATCTCCCCCTCTGATTTCCCCCAATTCTCTTTTCCTTTCCTTCTCCTAATGTCCTCCATGTTATTCCTTATTTTCCACAAGTAAGTGAAACCATATGATAATTGACTTTCTCTACTTGACTTATTTCACTCAGCATAATCTCTTCCAGTCCCGTCCATGTTGATACAAAAGTTGGGTATTCATCCTTTCTGATGGAGGCATAATACTCCATAGTGTATATGGACCACATCTTTCTCATCCATTTGTCCGTTGAAGGGCATCTTGGTTCTTTCCACAGTAGTAATGCAATTGCCAGGTCATAGGGTAGTTCTATTTTTAATTTCTTGAGGAATCTCCACACTGTCTTCCAAAGTGGCTGCACCAACTTGCATTCCCACCAACAGTGTAAGAGGGTTCCCCTTTCTCCACATCCTCCCCAACACACGTTGTTTACTGTCTTGTTAATTTTGGCCATTCTAACTGGTGTAAGGTAGTATCTCAATGTGGTTTTGATTTGAATTTCCCCGATGACTAATGATGATGAACATTTTTTCATATGTCTGTTAGCCATTTGTATGTCTTCACTGGAGAAGTGTCTGTTCATGTCTTCTGCCTATTTTTTTATGTGATTATCTGTTTTTTGGGTGTTGAGTTTGAGAAGTTCTTTATAGATCTTGGATATCAGCCCTTTGTCTGTAGCGTCATTTGTGAATATCTTCTCTGGTAAAATAAATATTGTGGTTTTATTCCTGACTGGACACTGACTGATACATGTTTTAAATAATGGCTTCAATTCTGTATTTTTATTCTAATCTTTGTCCTTTTAAAAAGATACAGTTTTACTCTTGCAGAACATGAAGTACAGAAATAATCACAGCTACCACAGCAAACTTGGCATGTGAATAGTGTTTTTAAAAAATGCGTTCCTGAAAATTATCTCATTTGATAACTTCTTCTTGCATTCATTTGATAAGGTTTTTTTTTAAGATTATTTATTTATTTGACAGATCACAAGTAGGCAGAGAGACAGGCAGAGAGAGAGGAGGAAACAGGCTCCCCAGTGAGCAGAGAGCCCGACGTGGGGCTTGATCCCAGGACCCTGGGATAATGACCTGAGCCGAAGGCAGAGGCCTAACCCACTGAGCCACCCAGGTGCCCCATTTGATAAGGTTTTATTGAGCAATTGTTATTTATAAGGCACAGAGTCACATGCTGGAAATACACAAATAATTTTTTCTTCTTTTTATTTTCAATTTTTTTTCAATTTTACTTAAATTCAATCTAGTTAACACATAATGTATTATTAGTTTCAGGGGTAGAATTTAATGATTAATCACTTGCATATAAAACCCAGTGCTCATTAATGCCCTCTTTAATGCCCATCACCCAGTTACCCCATCCCCTCACCCTCTCCCCTCCAGTCACTCTCAGTTTGTTTCCTATAGTTAATAAGAGTCTCTTATGGTTTGCCTCTCTCTCTGTTTTTATTTTATTTTATTTTTCCCTCCCTTCTCCTATGTTCATCTATTTTGTTTCATAATAGAACATATGCAAGTAATTTCTAAACTGTAGGGATATATTTACCTTTCCTAAAGAAAGCTTTATAAATCCTCTAATGCAGCAGGGGAGCAGTCCAGGAACCAACCATGAAGAATTGTAGAGACTCAATTTCTTCCATGTAGGAAATTTCCACTTAAATTATCCATATTTGTTAGGCTGAATCATCAATTAAATAATATAGAAGGTATGTGAAGAGAAAAGAACAGTGCCCAGCAATTAAAACACTCAATAAAACACAGTTATAACCAAGAAGAATTAAGAAATAGGTAGATTTAATTCAAAATTTTTAAAATTATAAATAATGACAACAACATCAGTGCATTGCTTCTACATGAGGCTTTAGATGTACATGTACTGGTCCCTGTGAGGCAGGGCAGGTGTCATGAGTCTCTTATTGATGAGGAAACAGATGCTCACAAAAGATGAGTGACTTACCAATGTCATGCAAGCAAGAGGTGGCAACACCAAGCACCAGATGCTGTTCCTTCAATGCTGGCTGCTCGTCCTGCAATGGTCCAACCCCTTCCTCATGGCCCCCATCACCTCCCGATTTCTCAAGCTATAAATGAGGGGGTTGAGCATAGGAGTAAGGACCGTGTAGAAGATAGAGACCACCTTGTCATGGCTAGGAGCCCGGTAGCGCCGAGGCCTCAGGTAGATGAACATGGCTGCCCCATAGAAGAGGGAGACAGCTGTCAGATGGGAGGAACAGGTGGCCAGGGCCCTTTTACGAGCCTGAGCAGAGTGCATGTGGAGCACAGCCCTCAGGATGTGAGCATAGGAGGCCACAATGATGGAGAAAGGAAGGAGCAGCATAAAAACACAGCAAGCAAAGAGCAGGTTGTCAAAAAGAGATGTGTCTGTACAGGCCAGTTTTAATAAAGCTGGAACCTCACAGAAGAAATGATCCACATTTCTTGAGCCACAGTAAGGTAGGCTCACGGCTGCCACCATCTGGATAATTCCATCTAGTATCCCAAAGGCCCAGGAACTCCCAGCAATCTGGAGGCAGACCCTCTGACTCATAAGGACAGGATAGTGAAATGGGTGACTAATGGCCACATAGCGGTCATAAGACATGAGTCCCAGCAAGAGCCCCTCAGATCCCACAAGAGAGACAAAAAAGCCAATTTGTATGCCACAACCCACAAAGGAGATGGACTTCCTGCCAGAGAGGAAGTTGACTGCCATCTTTGGTGTGATATTACAGACCAACATGAGGTCCATGAGGGAGAGCTGACTGAGGAAGAAGTACATGGGTTTGTGAAGCCGAGGATCTATGTAGATGAGGAAGAGGAGGAGAACATTTCCACAGATGGCCACTGTGAAGACCACCATAACCGCAGAGAAGAGGACAAGATCAGTCTGGCTATGAGAAAAGATGCCCAAGAGGATGAAGCCATCTATAGATGACTGGTTCAACCATATCCCCATGGCTCAGTTGTTCACAATCACCTGAGAACAGGAACAGAGAAATTCTGAGATTGAGTGACATGTCTTTATTTATCTTTGACTTCAGTCAGTTGTATCTTGTAACACATCAAAGCCCAATAACATGTGCTTGAGACATAAATAGGGTGCTCTTTCATATTCCCATGATGTGGAGTATAGTATCTTTACTAGCTTATGGAATTGGGCACATATCTCTATTTGTATGTATCCATATCAAAGATACTAGGAAATGAATTATTTTATGTGTCACAAGACTATTGGACAATCCTCTTTTAGCAAGAAAATACTGGTTTTCCCTGTATGATATGATTCTTTTTATCCGGGATTACACAAACTAAGTAAACTATCTCCAATAGGCCTTGAAACATTTCATGTCCAAGAGGTAATTTATATATATTAGCAATAGGGAAGTTAGTGGAGATTTGTGATATTCTTTATTTTTCTCAGTCCTAACATCTTATAATAATTTTATTTTTTTATGTCTTAGAGGTCCCTAGATATAAACCATCAGAAAAGCCTCTTGGCTCTACATTCAAAATACTCAGAATCCAATTGATTCTTATCAACCCCCATTGTAACTGCTCCAAGCCACTATCCTCTCTCAGATGGATTATTATAAGCTCCTCTCCGGTTTCCTGGCTTCTGTCCTTGAGAGTCTATTCTCATAGCAGTTTAAATGACTCTGTTAGAATATGTCACATTATGTAACTCTTTTGTTGATAGTATATCCTTGTCTACCAAAATTACTCAAAATAAAATTGAAATCCTGGCAGTGGCAAGGCCCTATGTATATCACACACACACACACACACACACACACACACACACACACACACACAGTACCTCTGACCTTATCTCCTATCATGCCCCTTTCACTCACTGTGTATTCTTGAATTTCCTTAGACAAACTAGACACACTCCCACCTTTGGGATTTTGCATTTTCCTCTCTTTGGAATGTTCTTTCTCCAGACTTCTATCTCTCACCTGCTTCAGAGCTTTACTCAAATGCCTACCCCTATAGAGATGCCTTCTGTAAGGTCATATTAAGACCAAAAATGTCTTGCACCCTCAAGCCCTCCCTGCTCTTGTTTTTTTTTTCCCCATAGCACTTACACAATTTACCACACATTGCTTACATTTCTCTACTTCTTTTCTCTACATTGCTTTCTATTTTTTATTATGTTCAATTAGCCAACATATAATACATCATTAGTTTTTGAAGTAGTGTTAAACCATTCATAGTTGCATATAACACCCCATGCTCATCACATTTCTCTACTTTTATGATTTGTCTCATCCCACTGGAACATAAGCACCATTTATTATTCACAGTGACATTGGCAGATCCTAGAATGGTTTCCCAGGTCATAGTATAATCTCAATACATATGTGTTGACTGAATAAAATAGTACATGATAAACTTTCATTTTCTGAAGGCAGAAAGACTCCTCCTTTAATTGCAGGAGCCCTCAGTCTTTTTTATTATTATTATTTCAATTCAATTAGTCAACATACATCATTAGTTTTTGATATAATGTTCAATAATTCATTAGTTGCCTATAACACCCTGTGCTCTTCACATCATATGACCTCCTTAATGACCATCACCAAGTTACCCCATCCCCCCACCCACCTTCCTTTCTGCAACCTTCAGTTTGTTTCCCACAACCCTGTTCTTGACCTGAATGTACTACTTCACTGCTGGATTCCTTCTTCTGAGGATAAGTGAGTGATTTAGTAAGAAATATCTCAGGTATTTTTAAAAGATTAGAGTTTTTCCACAAATGCATGATAGCAGCATCTAGCAGATGTTTATGTGGGATGTATTCATGTCTACCTTATCTCCTTACAAAGAGGAAATCAGGCAACCCCACAGGACATGTTCTCTATGTAAAGACTTGGGGTAATTTTCTAAACTAGAATTGTCCTACATAGATTCACCACTAAGAAGGTAGGCTGTGTGAGCTGTGTCCCTACTGTAGGGAGTATGTCCTGATTTGTGCCAATGAAGATGTGCCCAGGTATCCTTGCCACCACCAACACCCAGGTATGATGTTGGGAAGGGTTGTTCTACAAGAGTAAATAACACTTGCAATAACCTTCAAATATTATCTTGGGTATATCAGCCCCAAACTGAGCCAATCAACTGAAAACCAGGTCCCCCAGACCTCATCAAAATTTCTTCCTCCTTTACTGAGGATAACCAGTCTTACCAACTATGTGCAGAGGCACTCAGCCACATGCACATTCAAAGAGTTGCACTCCATACCTTTCCTTCCTTCCAACTCTTATAATACAATACTACACAGGTGAAAAAAATGACATTTCTCTCCCTTCCTGGACAGCTCTTCTGAACTCTGATTCTTATATCTACTTATACTCAACACCTCCACTTGGATGTCCAACGGGCTTTTCCTATCTAAACTGACCAGACAGAACCCTTGGTCCCCCCTGTGGAAACAGCTGTTTTCTTGTCTTCCCAGGTCAATTAATGGCATGTCTGTCAGTTGCTCAGGACAATAATACATGGTACATGTTTGACTCCTCTCTCCTCACACATATCCCAACTTCAGATCCCCGCTGGCTCTTCCTGAAGAATGTATTCACTCCTGGATACATCTCACTCCTGCAGGTCCCAGCTGGCTACACTATTATCACTGCTCCACCGGATGATGACAATGGCCCTCAGCTGGATTCCTCCCCTTTCTGTCCTTGCTCCCACTTTAGTCTATTTGTACATAGCACTAGAGTGAAGTTGTTTCTATAAAATAAAAGACCAAATGCTTCAAGAATAAAGGAAGACTCATCTAGCTAGCACTCCATCATTATCCAGACCTCTTTTTCTTTTGCTTTCTCTGGAATTTCCTCTACGCTGGTGTCACTGGCCTCCCTTGCATTTCAGGAGGAATTGGTACATGCTCTAACTTCTTCATGTAAGGCTCTTCCCAGATATGCTCAACATTGTTCCCTCACCTACTCTACCATGCCTTACTCAACACCTATTTGGAGTTGAAGTCCTTCCTCCTTCCCCATTTCTTCCCTGCCCTTGTACTTCTCAGAACACTCAACACCATCAGGCATTCCACATTTAATTAGCATGGATTTATTTTCTGTTTTCCCAGCTAGAACCTATATTCCTGATGCCATGTTTGCTCATGGGGGGATCCCCAGATCCTAGAATAGTACTGGCATATATTATATTCTCAGTAAATTTTGTTGAATGATTAACTATAATATGGAAACACCTCAAGAAACATCTAGCATCAAGAAAATTCTAGCATCTCACATGTTCAGTTCCTGCTCTCTAACTTCATTTATTTCATGGGTGTTTAGTTAATGCCTTCATTTTGTCCCTCAAAGTGATACCATAAAGGGGGCCACTTTGTCTCTATAGTACAATTTTGGGGACAAGTTAATTTAACTCTATGTCTTATATCAGCTCTTCTTCCTCTCCTTCACCTGCATTTCTTGTCACTCATTCTTTGCCTTTCTGCTTTAGATCACTCTATAACCCAGGAGACCATCACTGAGTCCCATAATCTAGACAGATGGATAAATAGATCAAAGGAAGAGGACTAGAAGAAAGATCCCTGAGAGACATAACACTAGAAAGAATATGCTCAAGCCCTCCATCCCCACCCCCCACAAAACCTGAAGGAGGCAGACAATAAGAGGAAAATGAAATGCTAATAAACAAACAGAAGTGGAGAAATGACCTGCAATCAGCAATAGAAACTGCAAGGAAGTGGTAAGGGGGTGATAGGGAAAAGACCCTTACTCACCTTTGAGTGGAATCCCTGGAAGAAAAAAATTCAGCAGATATCCTGTGGTGGAGTGTCTAACACCAAAATAATTTCATTGTCCTTCCTTGAGTTTGTACTTACTGGGTCAGAGGAAAGAAGGAGGAACCTTCCAGCTCCATCCTACCTGAGCCCCTCAATAACCTCTCAATCAGGCTATCAAAGCCCTTGTCACCCTCAGCACTCCTGTGGCTCTCTCACTCAGAGAGTAAGACCCAAAAAGATAACAGCCTCTTCTCAGCAAAAGTGGAAAGAGAGAAAGGAGACTTGGTCAAGGAGATGGTGGTGGACCCAGAACCAGCATCTGTGCATCCCAGCCCACCCACAGATACCCATCCACCTTCTACAAGCTGCCTGTAGCCCAGATTGCAGCTGTCTCCAACTGCCCGTGCAAGTACTTAACACTGAACCTGAGCAAGGAGAGTGAAGCTGATGGATCCCAGGGGATCCCACAAACTCCAGCTCTGGAATAGTAGTTCCCAAGCTTACAATTAAAGAAAACTAAACAGGGAGCTTGGGGACAGCACCAGAGAAGGGCCAGTTGGGATAGTGTGAGAAAACCTGGTCAGAAGAGGAAATCTTCTCTAGGTGCTCTACCTCCGACTGCAGACACATTCCTACTTCCCCAGTGACTCTAAGGACCCTCACAAGGTCTCCATCTGTGGCTGTCCCAGTAGTCTGCCCCTGTACCATGCAATCCACACCTGTTCTTTATCTGTCCCATGAAGTCACTCTTTATCTATGGAGGGCCTGTTATACATAGCACACTAGGTGACACATTGTATTTGAGTGAAAATTGGAGACTTAACACAATCTAGCCTTATGGACATTATAACCCAGTGTAAAGAAAAGAAGAATACCCACATTCAGAAGAGTCAAATGGTGGCAGAGACCTGGTTATTTTCTCAAAACTGTCAGATGTTTCCCTAAACTCAGTGCCCTTCACAGTTTGGTGTGGATAGCTCTGTGGTCTATGGATATTACACCTGCCTTCCCAGTGTAATCATGGACAACACTTTCTCACCATCAGAAGAATATCCCAGGTTGGATGACAATTTTACAGTTGTCCTGTTTTTGCCCTTATTATAATGGAAGCAGGTCAATTTTCACAATGGACTATTCATTGGAAACCAATCGGCCAAATAGCCAATTTATCTTTTGAGTCTTTAGTTTTATTTGAC